CTGGACAGAACCAGGTTTTTGATCGTGTTGTGAAAAAGTGTACCTAACAACTTTTAACTCCCCTTCATAGCCTATTGGTCTGCAGGGCTCCCACACAAGCATGAAAATACAAAACACACAATCTTACAGTATTTGTTGCCTTTCTTAGGTAATGATGACAAAGTTCAGGAGGGTTTTAGGCCAGGTACAAAAAGTCACAAGTGTAGTGGCAAAATCAAAGTCGGCATCTCAAAGTAGCATAGCAAGCCTCAAGGACAAACAGAACAGTTCATACTTAAGCAAGCTGTGGTATCCCTGCTTATGAAGTTAGTGGTACGTTAACTTGAAAATTTTTTCGTCACAAGGTGGGAAGAAGTACCTGCACCTGACAAGAGGGCAGAACATAATATCTAACTTAACTCCATTCTAATTAGCCTAATGATTGTTACGGTACTATTGATGTAGAAGTTTGGTTTTTCGTAAAGTTATTGACCCAATCAATACTTTTATGTCCAATAATACAATGGTTTCAGTTATCGAAATTTCACCGATAATAGTCTTGTTCTTACACGTATCGCAACAAATATTGCGGGATTAATAAACAATTCCACTGATGCCAAATATTGTAAAATCTATCGTTATAGGCCAAGTTACGGGTACAGTTTCTTAACTGGGCTATGCTAATATCGATTGAAACTATCAAATTAAAAATATTGATTAAGTTAATAATCGATAATTTGGTAAAACTGAACTTATACTACTTATGTTATATTGAATTTTTTTTTCATTATATACCTAAATAAGACTATTTTAAGCACTTTTTACCATTGGCACTTTTGGGGGAAACACCTATTTCACCCTGAAAATCGTGTTTGAAAATCAAGAAAAATGCTAGAAATCGGCGATTTTAGACTCATGTAAAACTTTTTGGGTACAATTTCTTAACTGGACTAGCTTATGCTAATATCTATTGAAACTATCAAATTTAAAATATTGTTTAATAATCGATATATTTACCAGCTAAGTATATCAGTTATAAAATTAAACTATCATAACCTAACCTAACCAAACAAACTTGCTGATGGTGAAAACATTGAGAATGAAGGTTTACTAATAATCGGTATTATCATAGCTAAGTTAAGAAACTGTAGGCCTACCCAACTTCTTTTTACTTTGTGTCAATAACTTAATACTAACCTAACCTAACTTAACCAGGGTTTACCCAAAATCGGTCATTTTGGCATTTGGCACATTGTTAATCTAAGCATGGGTTAGGTTGGGTTGGGTTAGGTTAGGTAAAGTTTTTTTGGTTTACCCAAAAATGGGATAATTTTTGGTACCGTACCGTAAGTTACTTAAGATTTTTCAAACCTGGTTTCCTGGGTAAAAACGGCATTTGCCAAAAATGTGTTAAAAATGGACTAATAATTAAAAAAAACCCCACCCTAAGTTAAAAAGAAAATTATCAAGCCCCAAAAATCATTAATTTCTAGCATTTTAACGTGATTTTTAGGGTTTAAATAGGCGTTTGCCCCAAAAGTGCCAATGGTAAAAAGTGCTTAAAATAGTCTAATTTAGGTAGATAAGGCAAAAAATATTCAATCTATAAGTATAAAAGAGGATGTTTGTATATTTGTTTGTTTGGCAGTGATAAACTCAGACACCGCTGAACCGATTGCCACGAAACTTGGTACATACGTGTAGATTGTCATGGAATAGGTTTATACACCATCAATTTCGTGATCCGTCCAATCGGCTCCGCCCCAGTGGCTCTGGAGTTTCCCATGTTAACCTTATGAGAAATGGAATTACTGAATCTTAACAGCTGTTTCAATTAAACAAGTTGGTTCTGTTCTATGATGTTCAATAGCATTAAAGTTACAAGGATTACCAACAGGGTGCAGCACTATTATTTCTTTTACATTTATGACAACAGCTAATTTGCAACCAAAAGGTGAGTGAGCGTAGCGAACAAACTTCAACCTGGAGGCGAGTTAGCGTAGCGAACGAGCTAACCTGAAGGCAAGTGAGTGCAGCGAACGAGCTCCAATCTAAAGGTTAGTGAGCGTAGCGAACGAGCTCCAACCTAACGGTGAGTGAGCGTAGCGAACGAACTTCAACCAGGACGTGATTGAGCCATGCGAACGAGATCATCTTGAAAATTAAGAAGTTAAACGGGGCAAAGCCCGCGGGATTATAAATAGTCAAAGGCAAGACAACGTCTGCCGGGTTCAGCTAGTATAACATAAGTTAAGTTTTATAAGTCCAGTTTTACCGATATTTTTAAATATATGTATTGTAAAATTAAACTATCATAACCTAACCCAACCAACCAAACTTGCTGATAGTGAAAAAATTGCATGAATGTTTAGGCCTAAATTAGGGCGGGTTCCTTAGGGTGGGTTCCTCGGTGTATTCATTGATAAAAACCTAAACTGGAGTGACCACATTGATTATCTCTGTAAAAAACTGTCGTCTGCGCAGTTTGTAATTAGGCGAATCAGAAATATTACAAATGAAGAAACAGCGTGGGTGGCCTATCACTCCCTATTCTCATCACACCTGAGATATGGAATAGCGGCGTGGGGATCAGCACCTATTAACAAGATTGACAAAGTCCTTATCCTTCAAAAGGAAACCATCAGAACAATACTGCGGCTGGATTATCAGGAACACTGCAAACCCTTCATTGTCCAAAATAATTCCTCACCGTTATTTCACTTCATATTCTGGAAACCATCATCCTGGCCATAAATTCCTCGCCCAGTCTCAGACAAGATAAACACAACTATAACACACGAAATAGGGCAAACATCGATCTTCCACAACACACACTCACAAAATTCAGCAACACCCCACTGTACACTGGCTCATATTTCTATAATTTACTGCCGGACTCTATAAAAGCCACTGACAAACACAACACATTTATTTACAAGCTTAAACAATATTTAATCAATAGGCCCTACTACACCACAGCAGAGTATATCGAGGAACACACTTTACAACACCTTAGATAACTTAACGGGGCTCACTTCGAGAACCAAACAGATGAATCTTGACGATTCCCCAATCACCCGATTGCGGAGAAGACTTCAGAAGTAAGTAAGTAAGAAGTAAGTAACTTAAGGCCTACTAATCGAATCGATAGTTTCAATCGATATTAGCATAGCCCAGTTAAGAAACTGTAGCCTAGGCTACCCCAAGTTACTTCCAATCTACTTTTAATTGAAATGACGACTTTATTCTTTCTTTTTCAGAAAAAGGAGCCCTTTCGTTCTCAGTACATACCCTGGCAAGTCTACAAATATATTTCTTAAGTTTCAGAAATCAAATCACAAACCAATCTAGGCTACATAGGACTAGGCCTAGGCTAAAAAATGTAAACTATTATCCATCCAAATTCGATTTTAAGGTAAATTATTCAGGAAATTGTCTCAGTAACAAGCTTGTATCATTTAGTTTTCTAAATTATTTATTTTAGGCTACCATGGTAAAGACTTTCACACAAAATAAAGAATCTAAACAGTATAACTTGTTGACCAAACTAGACTAACCAGCCTTTGCTTGGACCTATTTACTTACTTTGTTTTGTAACTTGCCATATTTTTATCTTGATTTGAAAAAGTGTGTGTTTAATCCACCTTGCTCGATAAAATCAGATAGTCACATAAAGATACACTATACATACAGCACTCACTAAATTTTTAAAATACCATGAATATTTGAATATTTCTTTCAACTTTTGAACACCTGATCTGTGATCTGGATCTGACACTTCTATCGTAATCGTATCGTATATCGGTCGGGTCTCGGGTCGGGATCGGCCAGTTTTTCTGTCTTTCTGTGTTTGTTTTGTGTGGTGGTTATTTTATCTTCATCTTGTCAGTTCAGCTGATGATTGTGAAAGTTCAGACCGTAAGATCTAGACAGTTAAGTGGTGAAGAGCAAACTCGAAGAGTCGATTTTATATGTATGATGATAGTTTATGTGTTGATTTTAGACAGTTTAATTATTATAGGTGTCTTACACGGTTTTTTTTTAAGATTTACATTCCCAAAAATGCTGATTCTGCTTATTAATAATGAGATGTAGCCTAATTTGAGAGGTTGTATTCAATTTCGAAGATTTAAAACGCTGGTAATATTTTTATGTAGGTATGGCTGTTTTCCATTTTTTTTTTTTAATTATTGAATGACCGAACGCAACTCTATTAATAATTTTCGCCGCTCCCTAAAAAACGTAAATAGAAGCATAGAGTTTGTTCTTATGTGTTTTTGGGGGGCGGGCTGTCCCTAACATAGTCGAAATAGCCTATTTCACTATAGACAGAATTATTGACCCACTGGTAACACAGTTTTCCCATAACAAGACTAATCCATTACTACTTAATATGTTACTTAATATTGTTTAAAGGACTTACGTTATATGTGTGATTGTGATAGGGGCTAAATCTAAATCTAAATTAAAGTATAGGTTTCTGTTTTAAGGGATGCAAAATCTGAGAGATCTTTCATATTTTTACAAAAAGATTGTCCACTAGGATTTAGATATAAATTTAAATTTGAGTACCGGCTTTTTATTATAAAAAAAACAAGTGTTTATTATTTTCCCATGTTCGAATTGTACTATTTAAAAAAAATTATACTTATAATCTGATAAAAAAATTTATCACAAAGTAGAATATAAACTGTTTTCCGTTGAAAATTAAAGAAAAAAAGAAGCTAATTGCGGATATTCTGTTCTGGTTTTGGTACATATTTTAGTTACCCTGTATGTCTCTTTTGTGTATAAGAGGTTACTTACCTATAAGAGGTTTTATATTTGGATATTTTGTCCATTTGTGTCCACTGACTGCGATATTTTGAAACAAAAACCATGTAACCACCAATAAATAATTTAAGGTAAAACTCTTATTTATAGTGACGATACAACGTGGCCTTCCAATATAGTGTATTTTATCCGTAAACCAAAATCTATTGAGTAAGCAGACCACTTCAAAATTGAAATCTGTCACTTTTACTTTCACTCACTCACGCCACATCATCATCGTCATCATATCAACCCCACACCTGCCTGTTAACGATTGTTGCCAGGAGTATTGGATATTTGCCAAAATATCAATTATTTTAACTATTTGAGGAAATCATGATTTTTAATTAAAGGAATTTGTTACTGAAATAACTACAGGTTTTCTTTTCAACCCGTGACGTCACGTGAGTTGGCCCTTTTTCTGATTGCAGTTGTGCCTTTATGAACTTCTAACGATGAGCGCTCCGGAGACCCAACCGCGGAACATATTTAGAGGAGTTGTAAAACAGGTAAATTTTATTCAAGATTTTTGGGTTTTATTTATAGATCCAGTTTTTAATTGGTCTCATATAGCACTCTTCAACGTACACAACAAATTTATTGCTTTTCAGATGACAGCCATGCTGGCACGTTTTACCTCATGGCATGCAGAACATTTTAATCAAATTTGCTCGAAATAAAAGTTAATAGCCCGCTTAAAGTCTCAAATTATTGTTCAAACCATACTTCTCATCACCTTGATAAGAAATGTTCCCAATTAATTAAAAGTTTTCATTTAACTTATCTTCTCCTAACCTATTAGAATAAAATTGGTAATTTTTGGACTAATGGCTATGCTGACTACCATAAGCCTATTTTAAGTTAGTACTTAGGATACTAAAATCAGATCTTCCACCTTTACTTAAAGCCGAGGCTTTTAATACAAGATTTAGCTACAAACGTAATTAACGTACGGTAATAAACTTAATTGCAGAAAAACTTTCCCCCCAGAGGTTTTGTATTAGGCTATGAATGTGTGTGTGTGGGGTAGACTTCCATATCTGTTGGCACAAACAACCGAATAAAAATATTGGTTATTCGATTGTTTCATTTGATTTATGGTTTGGTCAGTAGTGTTAGGTTAACCCTACTAACTAACCAAACGATATATCGATCAATATTTTCATTTGGTTGTTTGTGCCAACAGATATGGAAGTCTACCTGTGTGTGTACTTTAGATGTTTGGTCTATCAATGAAAGTTTACGTAGTCCTAAAGAGTCTAGGTAGTAAAAATCAGGGCATAAAAAACCAATAAAAATAAAGCACCTTACTTAACCCCCCGCCCTCCCCCACATTACTCAAAAGAGTCACAGGTGGTGGTTTGCTCGCTGCAAATGCAGGTGTCTTATTAAGATGTAGGTAACTTACAGGGCTATGTCGACATGTCCTGAAATGATAACTCATTCACCATTTACCACCAGTAAGTTACTTCTCTCTACATTTTTAAGAACGGAAATTTCCAATTCTTACTGACCTAATGCTGACGGTTGATAGTTAGCCTAGTCCAGGCCTTTTTTAGTCTGTTGTTATGGACTTCATATAATTTTAAGTTACCATTGGCCCATGCAATCAGGTAAAATTCAAATCTTTGAGCTCAAAACAAGTTCCAGTTATAAAATATGATGCATTGGTGTCTCAGCCAAACTAGATTTTATTTTAGGCCTAGGCCTACTCTGTGCAACTGGCAATTTGTTTTGTAGCCTACAGTTATTTTCTGAGTAATAAGGTCCGAGTTAACGATATGTATGGTAGAGTGGGGGAATTGGGACCCATGTTTTTATATGTTTATTGTCAGAAAAATCAAAATATGAGCATGCACAAGGTTTTCAACTGTAATTTGTCTTCTTATCACATGTTTTTCATTTTTTTTATAAATTTTACTATGAAAAAAAAAATAGGCTAATAATTTGGAACCTATGCTTGGACCTATGCTTATAAACCCATAAGCACCTACTTAATATTAATTTGTGGGGGTAATAGGGTTCTAAAAATGAAAACATAATAGGCCTAAACAAAATGCAACAAACTTTATTGAAAAAAAATTTTTTAGGACATTACAACAGTTCAAACTATTTTTTCCAAAACATTACACATTTTTCTTAAAAAAATATGAAAAATTAACCAGAGCAGATAACAGCCAGAAAATATAGATTTAAACTGTTAAAGAGATGTATAGCTAAAAAAAAAAAAAAACTACAAGTACCGTATATTTTATGTCGAACCTTTTTTCTGGTCATATGCAAACTTTCCGGAATTTCGCTTTTTCAGCCAAAAGAATTTCTAATAAATGGTAGTTATCAGTCCAAATATAAGTTAAAATAGGCCAATTATGGGCTTAACTCACTCTTTTAGGCCCTAGTTTCTTATCAATTGGTTGTAAAATAAATTTTTTACTTTTCTGTACACCTGTGATTCCAACCCGATGTAACCACGCGATGAGACTGGTTCCCAATTACTACTCCATGCTGGGGTAATTGGGACCTACTTCAAAATTCTCTTTTTACACCACCACTGCAGCCACATATAATTATTGATTAATTAGGCCTATATGTGGGATTAATTATAATATTAATATTAATTATATGTGGGATAACAAAATATGGGTCCCATTTCCCCACACCGGGGTAATTGGGACCCACTTTTTTTTAAATTTATAAATTATTATTTTTTTTTAATTATTTTAAAGCCCTAACAAACTATTGCTTAAACCTGTAATGTGTCAAAAAATACATTTTGGTATGATTATTAATTCATATAATATATAAAAAATAACTCAAAATACTACCACGCTTAAGTTTTGCCACATGTTTAACATTCGGAAAAAAACACGGCTTGATTTTTTTTTCTTATACATCGAACACAAGATTACAATTATCCAATAATTTGTGATGAAACCCCTTTAGAATGCCTAATCTTTAACGTATTTACAATTTTGTTTAAAAAATAAATAATACAAAATTTTAAAAAATAGCTCACAATTACCCCCGGGTCCCAATTCCCCCACTCTACCCTATTTTAGTATAATAAATACAGACTAGGCTATTTTCGCATACAGTAACTAATTGATGGGTTAAAACACTAATAACAATTCCTAAAATGCTTACGTAGCTTAGTTCATTAGGGCCTATAACTTAAACCTTACCTTCCTAATCCAGCTTAAAATTTCATAGCACTTTAAATAACAAAAAAATCCGCATAAAGCCTGACTTATCTTCCTTACATGCCTTTTCTGTCATCAAAAGGGTTTGAAAAGTTATAGAAGCTAGGTTAGGTTTAGTTAGGTTGGAACAGTTTCATTTTAGCGAATTTCCCTATATAGGGAAGTAGTTATTACCGTAGGTGGCATGGTAAGACCTGGAACTGGGGGCCCGATAAACTTTCTCAATTTGATTTCCCTAGAGGCCAAAAACACCATTCTTTCAAATTTTTATAATATATGTAGGGCCTATAATATATTTTACTTTAGGTGTTCACGCAATAGGGCTGCTGATATAGGTATTAAATTATAGTACTAGTAAATAAAGTACAACTGAGCACCCTGAATATTATTTAAAACATACAATATATAATATTCAGGATGCTCAGTTGTACTTTTACTTCTTTAATATATAGATATACATTCAAGAACGCGATAACTTGAGTAGGTAATTTTTGTCCGAATTTGATGAAAATTGGTTTGAAGGTGTAAGGCAGGATAAACTTGAATGAGTTTGCGAACCAGCATGATCAGACCATGGGAAAAGGGTTTTATGGCCCGGGGGTTTATGGGGTAAAAATTGGTTTACTCATTTTTGACACTCAAAACTCAAAATTTCCGAATTTATCACTAGACCATTTTAAAGACTAAAAAGAAAATAATAATTTAGTATAAGTTACCCAAGTGTTTTTGTACGGTTATTAGTTGTGGATAAAATAAAAAAAATGCAAATTTAAAATTCCCATTTTAGGCCTAGGGTATTCTTATTGAGAATGATGTAAAATGTTGTAGTTTGCTTGTTTATGGAATTATTTTGATTAAACTTGGCAAATTTATTTATTTTATACTAAGCTACTAATATTTTATTTAAAAACACACTTTATTAGCCTCTCTGTAGCAGCAAACCTAGGTAGGTACACTCATTTATTTATTTATTTAATTATTTATTTATTTTACCTTCCAACGGTCAAGAACCAATTTCATTAAACGTATTGATTAAACGCCTCATTAAACGTATTCTAAAAAAAATAGGTAGATTTAATTTAAAATAAGGTTGGAAATTCGCTTAGTCTGCAGGTTTGCTGAGGTGGGGGTATTTTTATATAGGTACCGTACCCTAGTTTAGCAAGGATGAACCTATTAACTTGCAGAATGTTGTAAATTGTTGTGAGGCCTAAGCTACTAAGTTTTTATTTGAATGTTGTCGGGTAGTATTTGTTTGTAAATTAATTTGTATTGCATGTAATCAGCTGTTAGCTATCCACATATCTTCCTTCTCTTCAAGTGTTAAGTTAGTCGCCAATAGGACATAGACTTGCACCAAAAAACCATCAGAACCATAAATGGTCTGGGCTTAAATAACAGATGATCTCATTCAGTACTAAAACTAGCAGTGGTGGCGATTGACCAGTAAAAGTAGGGGGGCGAAAACCAGCAGGAAAGCGGGGGATTTTATTTTGTATAAGCTTTACATTCATATATCTATACATATCTCCAAAAGTGGTGGGGGGCAGCCATCACTCTGTTATCCCCCTAATTGTTGCCATTAAACTACATAGATGTGTTGCTGTCTTATAAATAAATGAATAATAATGATCCAGGATTATATATTGTAACTATCAGGATTATTATTATATTTTAGCCCTGTACTATCTTAAATGGAACTGTTAACCCGGGTTTCGGTTAAAACCGGGGTTCTACTGTACTGAATTATTTGTTTTTTAAGCTCTTTAAAATGGTCTCTAGAGAGAAATTGTGAAATTTTGTTTTCAGAGCCTGATCAAAATAGAGAAAAGCCAATTTTTACACCATAAAACCCCGTTCCCGTGGTCCGATCATGCAAGTTTGCAAACTCATTCCAGTTTATCCCGCCTTACACCTTCAAACCAAATTTCTTCAAAATTGGAGAAAAATTACTAAAGTTGTTCCTGGTACTTTGGTATTTTAATTTAGGTCTACTTATATCAACATTTAAAGTAGCCCTCATTGGTGTAAAACAAAATATATATACATATATAACATTTTGAACAGATGGTGTTTTTGGCTTCTGGGGACATTAAAATGAAAAAGTAAAAATCGGTCCCGGGCCTAGGTCCTGGGCCAAACAGCTACTTCCCTATAGGGAAATTCGCTAAAATGAACTAATACTGTTATTCTAATGATATTTTGATCTGAGTTATTTAACAAAGCTTTAGGCCTACGTGATGTTGTGTGACCTAGAAAGACTTAGTTAAATGTTCATAGTGATTACAATAGAATCAATAAATGGTCTCTTTAAAGGTAGTTAATTGTTGGTAGTGATGACTTTTTGTGGACTACTAATGGCCTTGTCTGAAGACTAGTTAATGACCCACTATTACAACCCAACTGTAAAGCCAGTTAATGTTTCATGTCTTTAATATGAAACAAATTTTAACTTCACATTATTAATGAAATTTTAGTTTTAATTTCTATATAGGCCTACAGAATTTTATATAGGGCATTTGAATTTACAAAGTAATTAAAAGTAGTAGCCTATATGGAACTGGCTGATATGGAACTAAGTACCAGTAAAGTTTTTTTTTTTTATAGATGAACACATGAAAGTATATTTTAAGGGGAATCAAATAATATGCTTAGAAGAAAACCAAACTTAGAGATGAATGGTTTTTGTAGTACCTTTCTATTTTGAAAATTTGATATATTAGTCGAGTTTTTGGAAGTTAACAATGCAAACTTATATGTCCTATACTTTTATAATGAATTAAATGAATATTTTTTTGTTTACTTCTGTTACAACAAAAAAAGGCCATCAGAGTCATTGCTGGCATCAGCTCAAGAAAATCATGTAGATCCAGTTTTAAAAAATTCAAACTTTTGACCCTTCCTGCTCTTTATATTTTACACTTGGCACTTTTCATTAAAAACAACCTTTATTTATTTGAAAACTGTAAAAAAACTCATAGTTATGAAACTAGACACAAACAACTTTTGGAAATTCCAAGCCACAGATTAGCTTTATTTCACAATGGACCCTATTATCAATGCATACAAGTCTACAACAAATTGTCCTTTTATTTCACAGACCAGTCTTTGAGCCTTAATAATTTTAAAAAGAAACTTTCAGAAAAACTGATTGCACTTTGTCCTTATGACATGAATTCATTTTTATCCTGTCAACTGTAATATTAATATTTGTATATATTTATTATGTGTAAACTATTTATAATGCATGATTTGTACTGACATGTCACATATTCATTGCTGATATTCAGCCTCTGTATTATGAATTTTTGTGATGAATAAATTGATTTGATTTGATTTGTTCTCAAGCTTTTTAAATGATCAAACAATTAAGGTTGGTGTGTAGCAATTACAACAGGCAAGGTTTAAACAGCCTTGCAAGCTCAAGTAGTGTCTCTCAGTAAGCTTAGGGTTTTTTGTCCTACCTTCACATCCTAGGACGCGAGGCTATAGCCTGGAACTTTTTACAAATATATGTAAAGCTTAGGACAAGAGAGTTATGCCATTGGTGATTTTCAGGAATTGAACCCAGGATCTCTAGAAACGAAGCCCATGGTCCAGCTCGCTCCTTGCAAGCCTATAAGAGCCGTAAATCAGGCGTTGATAACTCTAAAATGCCTAATATGTTTACTGTGGATGGTTACAAGTTTCAGAATCTCGATATAACACTGAGTGCTGAATGGTTTAATAATAGAACGTCTTTGGTCACTCGATGACAGTGTGGCGGGTTTTCGACGGTTTAACTAATAACTTTGTATCTTTTCAGATAATTTCTGGTGAGTCCATCGTCATTCGAGGACAGCCTAAAGGTGGACCTCCTCCAGAAAAGACCATCACTCTCTCCAGCATCAAAGCTCCTAAACTTGCCAAGAGAGCGACTGCAGGGTGAGATGATTGTGTTTACCCTTTTTAATAGTAAAAAGTATTTTTTTCCATCTATAGTTTAAGCATATATTATTCTATGGTAGGCCTAATATTGAAGCTTAACATAGTAAACCTAGTTTTCATTAACTTGTGAAACTCATTTCAGTTCTGAAGAGACAAAAGATGAACCCTGGGCGTGGGAAGCAAGAGAATTTCTGCGGAAGAAGCTGGTTGGAGAATCCGTTACCTGCGTGGCTGCGGAAAAACAGCCCCCAGGAAACCGGAACTACTGCTCTGTTTACTTTAAAGGTCCATGACTATTGATTTTAAAACAAATACTATCATATTGATTTTGTTCTTGTTAACGTAGTCTTCTTTTTAGTCACGTGTTGGTAAGACTTACTTGGATAGTTCAAACAGTGCCAGTTTTTCAACTTCCATTCTCCTTCTTTATTCTAAAGAAACCCCTTGTAGGGGTGAAATGTCGAGATAATTGTATTATGAACTTTTTGTGGCTTGTAACTGCCTGGAACTCTTTGCTTTGGTTAGTTAGTTGTGTATCCAATTCTCTCTTTCTTAATGAATTCCTAAGACAAGCGTATTTTCCTCTTAACACATATACATTCTAATTCACAAGGAAGGAAAATTAGAGTACCGGTATGACTTTTAGTAGAGCAGTATTCATAATACAGAGACAAATTCTTGAAAGGGTAACTGTGGATCCACTTTGGCTACGTAGCTAAAGATAGGTACAGGTTGCTATAGTGCTTGCCGACCATTTAGTAGGTTGCCAGTTTTATCCTATACAAAGTCAAATGCTCTTTGATGGTTTGTAACTGGCCCAGCTGTCCTCATTGGGCTTTTAATATATAGCTCTGGCACCCTGGCTAAAAAACCAGCAGATCTTAGTCAGTAACGAAGCTAACATCTAGTGTAAAACACTCATCCTTCCTTCATTCATCTGTGCGTAGCAATATCTGCATTGTTTCTAGTTACCATATTTCCAAATTTTTGTATTCAATGTCATGTTGCCTACAGTCGATTACAATTTGAATGTAATGTTACAGATGAGAAGGGTGAGAACATGAACGAGGCACTGGTGGCCGAGGGGCTGGCCTCTGTGAGAGGCGGAGGTCCAGAGGTGGCCAAGCTGCAAGAGCTAGAGGCCCAGGCCAAAGCTGCTGGCAAGGGCATCTGGAGCACCGACGACCGCTCAGCTGTAGGTTACACTTACCACCTCTTAGCCTAGCTGTTTGTCTAAAAGTTTAGAAAAAACTGGAGTGTTGGGTTTCTGTTCTGAATTGGCCTACAAAGTTTTTTATGTCTTCCCTTAACACCCTAGGCTGCGCTTGAATCTTGATCTTGACTTGTTCAGAACTGTTTTCAGGCCTGTTTTTGACACTGTCATTGCCCTAGGCACAACTAATTTTAGCGCCCCTTTGCAATCCACCTTTGCTTTGGTGCCCATCGACCGGGAATAGCGGGTTGGATTTTTTAACCGGTAATTATGCGTGAATTTTGTATTTCTACCTGGATTTTCATTTTACCACGATCGCTCATGACAACAGCTACATTTCCATGACCGCGGGATACGGTTATATGTCATACACGGCCGCGAGGGATTGTAAATTTATTTTTAAGTACCTATTACCATCGAATGGTATTATAAAATTGTTTCGTCATAGCTTAAAACTTGAACTTAATATAATATGATTGGAGTAAAGTAAACATTTTGTGGGCATTCTACTGTACCTGTATTCTGATGGTTGTATTTTGTCAATAGCACGTGAGAGATATAAAGTGGTCCATCGAGAACATGCGCAACTTTGTGGACAAGATGGGAGGCAAGCCTATCAAGGCCATCATTGAGCATGTGAGAGATGGGTCAACTGTAAGGTGTTTCCTCCTGCCTGACTTTTACCACATAACACTCATGTTGAGTGGGATCAGGGTAAGTACAATGGTGGAACTTGTTTAATAAAAATCCTTTCTTTCTACAGGCTAAGTTACGGCTACATGGTTCTTTATCATACTTAACTTGAATGCATATAAGTATATCATAGAAACATTATTTACACAAACAGTGTTAAAAAAACAATATTTAAATAACAAAAATTAACCAACAAAATTACTCACACACTCAGTCAGCAATTTACGTAAGCGCCAAAACTTAGGACGCACCAGCCATACACTAGAAGTACGATTTGTTGAGTGCTGCCACAAACCAAAGACGACTATCAAGCATTTTTATGGAGAGAGGTAGATTGTTCCAAAGAGGGCAGGCAGGCAGTTACAACAAACACCCTGTTGTATGCTGTACTCCTATAATGTGCTATGCACAACGTGAAAGATGCAGTGTGTGAACTCCTCAAACTACCCTCCTGGAAACTAACATCTCATATCATTCCCAAATCTCATTAACTCCATTGAGCTTGTGTGATGCCATTGACATCAATGAATTCTTGTGGTTTACAAACTGTTTGTTTGCAATCAGAAGTGATCTGGTGTTACAGCAGCCAATTTGCTTACATCTGTTGTTTTGTAAACATCTGTGATGTCTGGTGTGAAAGATGTTCACAGCCATAAAGAAAACAGAAAGAGCTCAGACGTATTGAAACAATTGTTGCTTTTGTCTTGGCATTGCTATTGAGTATTGTTACAATAATAACAGTTACAACTTATTTGTTACCCAAAGTTGGTTAATTCTCAGAACATTTATTTTTAAATTTTATTTAGCAACTTAAATTGTAAGGTGTTCGTAGTAAAGTCCCCCAAGTGAACCGCAACAAGTTATTATCATATGGAACTGATATTTACTTACAGACAGGCTAAACATAATAAAATTCCACTTCAAATTAATTATACTAAAATTATCTTAACACCAAAGTTATTTGATAGAAATATAATAGATATTTTGAGAATACAGCAGTCCCAGTCTCCATCTTTAACAAATATCCTTGGACCCTTGTCCCATCCCAAAGGTCGAACCATTAGAAGTAGTAACAAAATTGAATAAATGTGCAAACTCAGTAAACCACAGTTTTACATTACACAATTCACATGTGGTGAATTGCAGTGGAAGTTAATGTGTTACAATAATTAATATGTGTACATACTGAAAAACGCTAACCAAGGTTGCAACTGTTGTTAGTGTGACTATCAATGAAATAGGCATGTGAGAGGTTTTAAGTGCCTCTGAACCGTCTTTGAACTAAACACATCTTAACGAGAGAGAGTCTATTATAAGTCAATAAGTCATTTATTGTACATTTTTTAGATTTTCACAAATTCAACTGGATGTGAAAATCGCTATAATGTTTTTAGAGATAAAAAAATCTCTTTTGTATGGAAAAATGCATTGTTTTAGTTCCTTATTTGTTTTAACATTTTACTTTAATTATTAATTTAATTATCACTGTTTAAGGGCTGACCAGGTACGCCAGCCGCAACAGACGGTCTTAATGATCATTGTCCTGTATGTTGTTCTAAGAATGTCATATTGCACTCACTTAAGCACTTTTTCATTCATTCATTATAGTGATTTTTTGCCTAGTGTAACGGATTCAAGTTGGATTCTGAGGGAAGACCTGACCCATCCATCAAGGTTGAGTACGCCGAAGAGGCTCGCTACTACGTTGAGTCCCGGTTACTACAGAGAGAGGTTGAGGTGGTCTTGGATTCTGTCAACAACAACAACTTCGTTGGCACCATCATTCATCCTGTTAGTGTTTTGTTAAATATTCTAAAATATGATTTGGTTTAGTAGAGCAAAATTTTCATTAATGGTGATTTTCACATAGATAGTTTGGTATTTTACCAAAAAGGCGAGAATGATTTTGATTGAAATTTAGTATGTTATTGTCCTTTGAAACAAAATAGTACAACTCTCATTGCCGTAAAAATTACAGTTAAAACAAACATCACAGTTTTTCATATTTTTTCCATGAGATATCATTCTACAGTTTAACCCTGATAAGGATTGTAATTACTAGCAAATGGGAAAAAGAAATGTGTCAAATTTCTGATATCATTAGTTTCCTCCATAGTCAGAGATTGTATCAATGTGTTTGTCCAGAGAGGCAACATTGCAGAGCTGTTGCTGAAGGAAGGGTTCGCCAAGTGCGTGGACTGGTCCATCGCCTTCATGAAAAGCGGAGCAGACAAACTGAGAGCGGCAGAGAGAGAGGCTAAGGAGAAGAGATTAAGACTTTGGAAGGACTACCAGTCATCCACTCCGCAGGTAAGCAAAAACTAGAGGTGTGCGAAACAGCAAACATTTTTTAATTTGATGTAACTATTCGATATAAAGGATTTTCTTTCTATTCACACTTGTCAATGGAGTAAATTATCAATAAAAATTTACCAGATTGTGTCCTGAAAAATTTTTATGATGTGGTATATTGACCTATTTGTACACATACATATGATTTGTTAGTCGGGTGGACCGATGCTTCTAGGTGTCAAATGAGGCAACTCAAATCATGAACTACATTCATGTACAACTTGTAAGGTGAAGAAATATTTATTTTCAATCATATATTAGAAGAGCCTGTAAGCCTATTGCTGGAAATTACAGTTAATTGCTTGCCCATTTCATAATTTTTATGCTCAGCATCATATTGTTAAAAGCTTAGTACATATTCTATTTTATTGATTTTACAACTAAAGATAGTTTTGTTGTGGATAAATACAAACCTTGATAAGATTTATACGGAAACTTTAGATTAGTTCACACTGATGGATTTAGACCTTCAAACTATAAGATCAACTCTTAATTGAGAAAGTTCAGCTAAGTTCAGTTGAAACGTTTTAGACAAGCTTAAATAAATAACTTGTATGGCTTGGAAATGGTCTCAGTACATGCCTTAAACAATATGAACTTGAAAAATATAAAATATAAGTATCAGAAAGCAATCTGTGTTACTAATTATTCAATTCAATTCAAACTTCTTTAGTCATTATTTTTCACAATATATATACAGGGTGGCGCGAAAAGTATGGTCAGTTTTGAAATCAACATAACGGAAATGATTTGACACATAAATTTAACTGAATTACGTTTCTGGACACTTTCAAATGACCCATTACAAAAATTAACCTTCTAAGTTACAGGGTTGCTAGTAAGCTATGTCATTCAAACTATACAAATTAAAAATATATATATATAAAAAATCCATAAAAAGAATGTAGCTGACTTTGAAGCGCTGACGCTCTTACGGTCTCTATTTTTGTGGAGTAACTGCCGTTCAGTAGATTTACCAATCATGACGGACCCTGTTGTCGGAAATGCTGACGTGATATGATCTGCGATCAGGAACCAGTACCTTTACGGGCTACACCAAAATGTTATAGAAACAGCTGTTCTGCAGTAATAAAAGATTCACTGTTTCTGAAAAAAAAGAAAAAAAACATTTCCACATCAAAAACGCGGTGCTCGACCGACCGCAGCACCCCTACGCTGCAAATTGGATTGAACGACTGGCAGTGGACCCGACCCTCCCGTAACTACTAGTGCAACGCAGTTCAACTTCGACCGTCCTTTTTGCGCCACCCTGTATATACATTGAATAGTGTCAGTCAAACTTAGCCTAAGTGACGATCTCATCCATGCAGGAGACTGTTAAAGTTAGTGCATTTTAGTGCACTAACTTTATTTTAGACTGTATTTTAGTGCAGATTTTACCATTCAGTCCAACCTGTTCCAAGGAATACTTGTCCAAGTCTTAATATCTCTCACTTAAAAAACTATAACTTATTTATAATTTTTTTATTTACATAGTAAAATATATTTACAAGGGATATTATTCTGTGTTTAGCTATCAGGCAAAGAAAAAGAATTTACTGGTACTGTGATGGAAGTTGTCAACGGTGATGCTCTCATGATTAAACTGCCAAGCGGTCAGATCAAGAAAGTTTTCCTGGCAAGCATCAGACCTCCCAGAGATCCGAGGTAAAGGTCTGCAGGAAAATGTGTGTAATTATTCAAACTAAGAAACACGCAAACGACATTACTCTTAAATTTCAAAGATTTACTATAACCTTTGACGATGAATGAAAACTGACATAACATTTCTATGTTAAACTTGACACCAGTTTTAAGATGAAATTGGACACGGTTCAATTGAGCCAGCAACAACGTTTGCTGTTGTAAATTACTAATTTCTGTCGAATACGCCAACTATTTTATCCATTCAAACTGATAGAACTTTTTGTAATCTTAGGGTTTGGAAAATGTGCATCTTTTACTTTTATGACACATCAACTCTCTCGGGGACGAAAACTAAGGAAGAAACTATAATTCTACACTAGTACATTTAATTATGTTCTTTTTTTAATAATTTTTTTTATTTTAGCGGGCCAGCACCTACTGGAGATGGATCACAACCGTTGGCACCTCGATCCAAGAACTTCCGACCTCTTTACGACATCCCATGGATGTACGAGGCACGAGAGTTCCTTCGTAAGAAACTGATAGGAAAGAAAGTCAACGTGGTTGTGGACTACAAACAACCTCCGAGAGACAACTTCCAGGAGAAAACTTGCTGCACTGTGACTTTGGCTGGCCTGTAGGTTTGAAAGATGTGTTTTAGATTGCTACTTGTATATATGAATCTTTAAATACATCAAATGGAGGATGGGATATAAAGGTTAGAGGTGAGCGTACATCCGAAAGTTTGGTTCATATTCGGTTGGGTTAGGATATCGGTGTCCGAACCGAGCACAAATTTGATATCCGATACTATCCGTTAAATATCTCACTTTATTGGATAGACCGTATATTGTGACGTTTTTTAGTGAAAACCTTCAAAAGTTAATAATCATCATTAGTTTACACTTTCCAAGGACGTAATTTGTCAACATTTTGTTTCGACGTTATAGCATGGACGCTACATCGGCTGAGGAGTAATCATCTATGACAAATATCAAAACACTTATATGAGCGTCTGCTTGATATACTACGTAACACCCGGAATTGTATTCGGATGAATCAGAAACAAGATGGTTATTTTAATTCACTTTCGACACATAGAAATGAAAAAAGTGCAGTTGAACTAAATATTAACCATCAAAGTAACACCAAACATTTAATTAAAATCTTGTATTCATTATTTTCTTTCTCGAGTTTTACTTTTACTTAGCGTTAACTATTTGTAAACTCGAAGAGGAAGATGTCTGTTGCAATAATACCGTGTTCTCGTTTGGTTGTTTATTGGTTGTTCGGTTGCTTGTGCTTTACGATTCATGTAGAACCAGACTAAAATAAAGCAGAAAAGGATTACCAAGTTCAAATAAAAGTCAATTCGTATTTTAACATCCTGTTACTTGGATCACTGCGACACAATTTTAATTTTATATACAAGTTAATACTCCTACTTCCGATTAACCGGGATAAAGTAGGGTTGAGGCTGTTTCTCGACAATAAATACAAACACTTTAAAATGTGGAAAATATTTGTATTTTCCCTGTCACTGATAGCAATCAACCATGGCTGTTTTAATCTGGGAAGAAATATGCTTGCTTTAAAAAATTTGAAAAATATCGATATCTGTAATTTTAATAATACAAAATATCATTTTACACACTCGCAGGACATTGTATTTCTGTAAGGTTGATTGAAGCATGTTATGACAGGAGCATAGCATAACTGAAGTGTGTTGTGACAGGAACGTAGCATAATAGAAGCGTGTTGTGACAGGAACGTTGCAGAGGCAATGGTGTCCAAGGGGTTGGCAACAGTTGTGAAGTATAGACAAGACGACGACCAACGATCCTCACACTACGACGCTCTGTTGGCCGCTGAGATGAAGGCACAGAAGAGCGGCAAAGGACTGCACGCCAAGAAAGACACACCTAGCCACCGGATAAACGATTACTCTGGAGTGAGTATGATCGATCAATAGTTTCTGATAATTTTGAGTTATCGAGGGATTACTGTACCCTTAAAACCACATTTAAACTTTTAAAATTGTTTACCTTTACGCAGTTTGGTAATAGAAAATGCCGTATTGCGAGTTGCATCGATTCGAATCAGATATCTTTTGAGTCAAATCGTTGCTTTGAATCGAAAATTTGTTGCTGTTTCGCACACCCCTACCAGGAATTATGCGTAATTTTTTGGGAAAATCCGGGAATTATGCTTGAGTTTTATATTTCTACCAGGAATTTTCAATTAACTGGTAAATTGAAAATTCCTGGACGTTGATGATTTCCACACAGGCACAAAATATGTTAATGATTTTGCCGCGATCGAGGAAGACTGTGATTATGTTTCTGTTACCAAGAGGGATGGAATAATTCCCAGAAATGCTTGGTGGATCGACCTTGGTACTGTCCGATCTTCTTCCAACTTACAACACTTATAATTACTCTGAATAAAAAAACCCTACAAACATTGCAAGAGCTGCACCCAATTAGTGTATCTTTGATAATGTGTGCCAAAATTATATTTAATTACCTCTTTACAGCAGACTCCCTCTTATTCGGACTCCACGGGACCGAGTCCAGTCTCGTAAAGATTTAGCGTTTAAATGCAAGTTTGACTTAAATTTAGGAGATCATTGTATTTAGACCACATGATCACTGGTCTCAAATCTTTCCCACGAGAACGGTTGTTTCAGTACCGCCCAGGCCCACTTTTATAAACGGGCAGACTGGGCATATGCCCAGGGGCGCCGGTGGTTGGGGGGCGCCTGAGGGGCGCTCTGAACCACCGCCCGCACTAGGAAAATAGGGTTTTCAGCCGGGATTTCAAAAATAAAATGGGTGATTTTAACTTTTAATTAAGTGATTTTCCCTTATTGAAGTAAATAAATACAACAAAATTGAAAATACTCCCTTTAGGTTATACTTGGTGTAGTCAGGGAAAGGCAGGCAGCAGTGTGAACCGGGCGCACTCACTATACTATCAAAGGCAGGGAGAGGGAGGCCTGCATGGTGGAAGGAAATACATAGGTGTGCTATTCCCGTCATATGCTGACGTCACTCAGATTGCAAAACACCATTTTACCATTGAGAAAAATTATAAAAACAATAACAATCAAATCAAAACAAATATACACCACAGAGAACTTATATGGCAATACATCAGCTGATTTTTTTTGCAATTTGGGTGACGTCAGCAAATTACGGGAATAGCACGTAGGCCAGCTGTAGTCTATAGGCCTACGGTAGACGTGCCCCTCCTCTCCCTACCAGTCCCACCCCCATCCCCACAAGTCACAACTACCAACTACCGCGCGGCGCCAGTCCAAGTCCAGTACAGTAGTACAGTACTCCTCCCTCAGTAGTCAGTAGGTTGTGTTCGTGTTGTGCCTGCTGCACAGTCGTCAAATCAGTCACAACACAACCTAAACTATGACAGTCACTAGTCAGTGTTGACACTCACATTGCAGCTAGAAAACCAGTAATAAATAAATAGAAGTGTTGTTACAAGTAAGTAGGCCTATAAACAGTGAAAAATGCATAAAAAACCTAGTGGAGCCGAGAGCCGCAAGCGGTTGGCTGAAATAAAACAAACTCAAGAAGCAGTTTTAAAGAAAGTGAAATGTATTAACCATAGTATTTCCACTGATACGAAATAGAAAACTCCCTCCCGAAACAAAACTGGTAAAAAAAAAACACGCTAATGTATACATTTTTATATGTATAGGCCTATAGTAGAACCGTAGAACCATAGAAAATCATACTCCCTTAGTAGAATCTCGTTCAATACGTGTGTAATGCAATGAACTGCACACTGTACTGTACTGAACAATAATCAAATCACTGCGTAGTGAATTAAGCTATTGGCGCAGGGAAAGATGCCAAACACCAAAGATTGCAGTCACCCCAACCCCCAACCCACCTGCTGTGAATTTCGGCGAACTGATGAGTCAACCCCCTTCCCTCTTCCCCTCCCTACACTGCTGTGGTCAAAACCTTTATAGTTTATATATATATATATATATATATATATATATAAGGGGGGCGCTGCTTTTGGGTTTGCCCAGGGCGCCACTGACCCTTAACGCGGCCCTGGTACCGCCTACTTCCTACCGATCTAGTCCGGTTAAACCGAAGTGCTGATAAAAATTGTCCGGTTAAAGAGATGTAATTTCCGCCGAGTGTAGTCCGGTTAAAAGGTGTCCGGACAAGAGGGAGTCTACTGTATCAGTTACACCTGTCATGAATAAACTGTGGTTTACTGACTGAATTGGTAAAATTAAAAAACCTGAAGGATGAAATAGTAACAAAATAGTTGGTTGTACCAAGTTTATAGAGTCAACATACAATTTATTGACAATATCATTCTTTGTTATTTGCTGCCCAGAGCTGGATTGCCACATAGCACAATGTTTTAAAAACAAAAAAGTTGCTGCCATGCACTGTTCAAGACCACAATTCGTACACAACAGAGACCTACACCAAGGATATCCTAACGCACACGGTACGCGTCCCCGACTCGTGTTGTATCCGTAATCTTTTCCTCCAATATCACAGCACTGGCAATCTTGTTTTGCTATCAACTGACTTTAGTCAGCTGATAGAGCCATTTGAATTTGACTTTAAGATTACAAAGTTTAAATAAGTCCATTTTAGTGGTAGTCACAATTTACAGATTTGCATTTGCACTAAGACTGTTGTTGGTTTTCAGGATGCGCAAAAAGCGAAGCAGTTACTTCCACATTTAAGAAGGGGAAACCGCATTGAATCGTTAGTTGAATTTGTAGCAAGCGGTTCAAGGTTACGACTCTTCATTCCCAAGGAAAGCTGCTTAATCACATTCCTTCTCGCAGGTAAGGTTTTAGTGGGAATTAAATTCCTTATCTATATTGAAAACAAGTTTTGGGTGTATGGAATGGGTTTTAAGAAATCTTGTGCGTACAGTACAACCCAGCTAATCCGTGACTTACGGGACCGGGACCATGGTCGGAACAATGAAAAGTCAGAGGAGCATATTAAATTAATTTCTTAAGAGACATTTATTGATCGCAAGAGACTATTTTGCCACGATCACGGGAGATGATGATGTTGTTTCTTTTACCAATGGAGATATTCAGGTATTCAGGAGTTTGTCGCAATAGCAGATGGGCCCCTAACAACGATTAAGTTTCCAAGATTGCTGGAGATGATGATGATTCCGGTGACTTCTGGTGTGCCACAGGGTTCACACTTGGGACCATTCTTGTTCAGTATGTTTGTCAATGACGTTGGTAACTCGTTGAGCTGCAAGTATCTCTTATTCGCAGACGATATCAAGATCTACAAGAAAGTGTCTTCTCCGCAAAACATCAACATGAACTCCAAGAAGCTCTTAATGCCGTTGCGATGTGGTGCACCTATAACTTGATGGAACTTAATTCTGGAAAGTGTGTAGCTATGTCATTTGGAAGACCTCTGAACTTGCTTGTCAACGACTACACAATTCTAGGCACTCAGCTAAAAAGAGTAAATGGGGCTAGAGATCTTGGAGTGTTCATAACCCCTACTTTGGACCCAGGTGAACACATACAGAGAATATGCAAGAAGGCCAATTCTGTACTGGGTTTAATTGTCCGTATTTCAAGGAGTGGTGCTTTCTCTACGAATACTTGGAAGATCTTGTATGTATCATTGGTGAGACCAATTCTCGAATACTGCTTCACTGTATGGTCTCCGTTCTAAATTGACCATATAAATTCCTTGAAAATGGTTCAAAAGCGCTTCCTTCGCCTGGTTGGTGTTCGAGCAGGGATTTGTTATACAGATGTAAACACTGATCAGGTTGCAGCTCAACTACAATTGCTGTCACTTTCATCAAAATGAACTGCATTGGACCTGATTTTCCTGTATTGATTAAAATCTAGTAGGCATGTGTTAAGGTGTTTTTGAATCAGAAGAAAATTTAACAACCTCCAATGCTGTAAACATTAGGGTTCCAAATTTATTGCAATTTTTTGTTATTTTCCCCTTAAGATCTAATAGTTACTCCCACCCATTATAAGTTTGTTATTGAGTTAGTTATATTGATATTATATAGTTACCCATTATAAGGGTCGTTGACAAGCAAATGGGAGAAAGTATGGGTCAGTTTGCTGGTATCGTTTATTTTCCTAAATAAGTAGACAATTGCACCTTACACCTTACTGTGCTCAAGAACTAATAATAAGTAGCAATTTTATCACATCAAAGAGATGTTCGGGATTTGTTGGCTTCTTAACCCCTTAAAGGCTCTTACCAATTGCACAGTTGCCCTCTGTTGCAGGCATTAACTGTCAAAAAGCCCCGAGGCAGATTCCTGGAGGGAAGGTGGAAGGAGATCCGTTTGGAGAGGAAGCTTTAGCCTTCACCAAGGAGCGTTGTTTACAACGAGAGGTGAGAAGAGTTAATATTTTGGTGTAATCCTTAGTTATTGGGGATCGATCACAGATTGGTTCTCTTTTCATCCAAAGATAGCTGTTATAAGTTTTTGAGATACAGTTTTCTAAATATTTTATGAAAAAATTATACACTTTATATATTAAGGCATCTCTTTATTTGTCGATGTAACAAACAATTCGCTCCTCGCACACCACATGATTTCACCCGCCCGGGAAACCATCTGACAGCCTAAATCCTTTATTGTACAAGGAGCGTTAGGTTAACCAAAATAAAAGGGGGGGGGGAGAATGGTTTACATAATCAAAATTGCAGTTTAACACGTTCGCTGCTGACCGCTAGATGCCGGGACGGCGCCAGGAGCTGAACTAACGCTCGCCGCTGCGTAAACATTGCTGCCGATACACTGAATTACAGTAAAAACAAAAGTAGTTATACTGGATGGCAATGTTCTGCAATAAAACTGGCTTTGGACATAGTACTAAGTGATTCTGATAGATAGCAGCACTACCCAGGTTGCAGTCGGTAAAGTAGTGTCGCTATCTAGCAGGAAGGAGGTGGGACAGAGCCCTGTTCTAAACGACCCTGGTGGTGATTTTGGGAAACTATATTTTTTATTGTCAGAAAAGTACGTCCCCACGAGCTGCAAAGAAATATAGGACGCTCGTGACGAGCTGGCTGATCGATGGTAACGTTAAACAACAATGAACGGCCGTGGCCCGTTTGACGTTCCGGAACGTCCGTAGCAGCGAACTTGTTAAGCAGTTTTTTAGCTTCCTAGTGATGAGAATAACACTAAATTGTAACTTAAGTATATGTTTTGGTTATAAATATAACACTTTTTGTGAATGTTGAGGAATGATGTATACGTAGATCTATCGTGTGTAAAAAATATTATTGCTGCTCTACTGTTTTCTTTAAACCATCTTGTTTGATTTTTCTTACTATAAAATCTTTTGCAATGACACCACAATTTTGAAGGCACTGACTGACTGGCTTCTGTTTCTGTCTAATTAACGTTATAAATCATAACCGAAACCCGTGCCCCTCTTTGGTTTGGTCACGCCATGTTATCTATCTTTGTCTATGCATTTCAGTCTTTTTTTTTATGCCATTTCAGTTTATTGTTGTTTCTGTTAAAAGTATTTTTGTTGAGATAGGTTCTGCTGTATAGATTTCCCACTACATTTGTATTATTGCTTGCGTTTTTGGCTTTGTATTATTGCTCCACGTTTTTTCAGCCCAACTGAAATATACACACTGTTCACAGGTAGAAATCACAGTGGAGAGTACAGACAAGGCAGGTAACTTCATCGGATGGTTGTGGGTTGAGAACACTAACCTGTCTGTGGCGTTGGTCCAAGAGGGATTAGCAGAAGTACACAGTTCTGCGGAGAGCTCAGAGTTCTACAGACAGCTGGTCAACGCAGAAGAAGCGGCCAAAGCAGCCAAGTTGAAGGTATGGTTAAAACATCGCTTTATCTTTTTTTGTCCCCCAATTTTACATTCCAGGACGCTAGGCTTTAGTCCGGAATCGTTTTATACTTCAGGATAGGCCTTGAGGGTGGTGCCACTATCACTCAGATTACATCGATTGGTGATTGGCAAGATTTGAACAAGGGATCTGGAACTGTATATATGTTCCTTACCTACAGAAAATACATAGCGGGTTTACTTGGAGGTTGTGGCTAAAGGTGGAGCCCCTTAGCTTCACCTTTAGACCAGCTCAAGTATTTTTTACAATAGTTGTATAAAATACTTGGAACCATCACTCTATCGATTTTCTTTGCAAATACCAATTTTTAACTCTACCCTTCAAATTTACTGCAACTACTAAAGATCAAAAGAACACCAGGCCAAACAGCATCAATCTCGGACTCAATAGTAAAAGTGAATGTAGCCCTCAATTCAAGTTTGATTTGTTATAACAAAAACTTTAAATTCACTAGATATGAACATCTGAAAAATGAGTTTCAAAATCAATAATTCTCAAATGTTTGCAGATGTGGCAGACTTATAACCCAGAAGAGGAAAAAGAAAAGCACGAAGAGGAACAGGTAACGGAAAGGAAAGTCGAACCTCAAAAAGTGTTCGTCATAGAAGCAACGCCAGACCTCCATGTATTCGTTCAACTTGAAGAACAAGGACCAAAGTTAGAAACCATGTTAGCCAAGCTGAGACAAGAACTAGAAACTGACCCGCCTCTTCCAGGATCATACACTCCCAAAAGGGGTAGGATTTAAGTTTTGATTTAAGTTTACAATAGTGTTTAATAGGAGCTTTGCCCTTGTCTTTCTACAGAGCATAGCATAAGCCAGAGAGCCAACAGAGCATAAGCCTAGCGTTACAAAATTAAGTCATTAGAAAATCCCACATATTTTCTATTAAAATTGAAAACGTTTTAACCTCCATTAAATTATTTTTTTTGAGGGGATAGCACTCGGTTTTGGAATATATTAAGGAATAAGGAATGTATACACTAATTTTTATAAAAGAGTTCTAGGTAGTTGAAAGCACACAAAATGTTCACAACACAATAAACATGAATAAATTGCTTGCAGGGACAAAATGTCAAGTTAATTGTTTTGTGAATTTTCTATGTGCTTCCAACTAACGGGAACTCTTTTCTAAGGTAAATCAGTTGGGTATCCCTTCTTCCTAATTGTATGTACCATAAAATTAGTAATTCATGATCAGATATAAGCTAGTAAAAAGATTATTAAAAAGCTTATGTAGTAGTAATTTTATACATCTCATTCTCATGGTAAGCATAAATAATAATAATATTTAGTCAAATAATCAACTTTATTTTTAATAGCTTATAAAATTCACAATTACAATAAAATGTAATTAAGACAGTCATTTATATAAGAGGGGACCGATGCACATTTTACAAGGGTTCGAAAGTTGTTTGCTAGGCAAAACAAAAATACGTACATAAACCTTTTACCATTCAGAGATTATGTTTGCTTCAGACAGTTATCATCCTTAAAATAATTCTACCTTTTTACTTGAAACAAAATTTGTTTATTGTCGATCTAAACAATACAGAGTTATTTTCCTACATCAATCAGGTTCCAAACATAAAAGTAGCGTGTTAAGTTCATTTTATAATCTAACTGTGGTTAAATATAAAACTTAAGGATTAGCATTTAAACACTAAACCTAAACCGTTGTGTTGGTCACCATCACTGGTTCTTTGAAAGCGAACTCTAGAAATAAACTAAAAGCTAGGGGTATGAAGACCGGAAGCAAATTACGTTTTAGCTAACATTTGTCACTCCGCTAGATCATAAGCTTTACAATGACTTATCAATCGTAAAAATCTGTTTAGTAGGATGGGTGAATAAGGGATGATACAGAGAAAAAACTTATTGTATTAAGTATACAGATTTTACTTGTAGAATAGGCTTACTCATGTCATGAATTTAATTGCAGGGGACCTGTGTGCAGCTAAGTTTACTGAAGACAATTTGTGGTACAGAGCAAAAATTGAAAAGGTGCGTACTAATTTAACTATTTTATTTAAATTAGCCTTTTAAAATAGACACATGTTACAAGTCTTTTGTTCTTAACGATCTTATTTACTTGGCAACCCAAAAGGGGAACGTTAAATTTTCAAATAAGTTGTGTAGCAAAATTTTTTTGAGGTAGTGGCTGTCGTCAATCAGGTTTTTAAGCCAGAAATAAAATATTTTCAACATTTGAAGGAAATTGTCAAAGCCATTATCGAGATCTTTGTGCAAGCAAGCATACATACAAGCAAACATTGCCCAAGAGTATAGGATAATATTGTAAGCTCCTGTAACTGAATATTATAAAATAACCCAAATCAGTAATAACTCCATACCAAACAGAGTGTTAAGAAGGTAAATAAATGTTAACTGTTGACAGGCAAGTGGGGGCAAAGCGCAAGTTCTGTACGTTGACTATGGCAACAGAGATGAGATTCCATTCTCCCGTCTGGGTCAGTTGCCATCAGCCTTCGCCCAGGACAAGTACTACGCTCACGAGTACGCCCTGGCCTGTGTAAAGCTGCCTCAGGACGTAAGTAATCTCAGCAGTACTCTTATATTTTTAATAATTCCGAGAGCTGTTTGGAAAGTAACCTGCAGCGAGCTGTATGAAAACAGTTTATTATACTTCTTACTAAATAACGACATCTATACTTTACTCTTCCATATAATTACCATACATTTAGGCACTTACAGCATCCTATTATTTTATATTACATTAAAAAAAAACCTGTTGAATTCATAATAATGTTTGTAGATTGATGCTTTTATAGTGATCTATCCAAAATATTTTTGTAGACCAATATTATTGTTAACATGATTGTGTCTCATCTTTGAAATACCATTTTTGTATCAAAGTAAAGTTTTTTCTTAACCTCTAAGCGTATTTTTGTTTTTTGTAGCCTGACTACATCCAAGATGCCATTGAAGCGTTGAGAACGGACACGATGAATAAACCAATCCTGCTTAACGTGGAATATCGAATGGCGTCCGTGCCGTACGTGACTCTCACTGATGAGGCAACCAACAATGACATCATCGAAGGTCTGATCAAGGACGGACTGCTGCTGGTCGACACTAGCAAGAGGGACAGGAGGATACAGAAATTGGTGAGGAAATACTGAAATACATGACGATGACATACAATAAAGTACGGTATATACAATACTGACAGTACGGAAATACATACTCACAGTATGCGAGATTTTGGTTTAGCTAATCCGAAAACGGGGAAATCTGGGAATCATTTATGAGTTTTTTAAAGAACTGGGGAATTCAAATATAAAAACCAGCCCAAAATCACAATTTTTTCACATTTGAATTGTCAAAATTTGCAATTTCGGGAAACTAATCACAAATAATGGACTTTTTTGCTATCTCAAGAAGTGATCTAGAGTTGAGATAAGTGATCTAAGAAATTTAACTTTCAAGTTTGTCATTTCTCAAAATTATTTAATACAATTGGAGAGGATTTCTGTTTATTTTTTACTATTGTAATTTATTCAAGTACATGTTCAATTTTTTTACCTAGTCTCTGGTCATAATCTGTTGTGTTGTTTCAGCTCCAGCAGTACACGAAAGCACAAGACGAAGCAAAGAAGGCCCATATTGGAGTCTGGCAGTACGGTGACATAACCGAGGATGATGACAAAGAGTTTGGCCTCGGCCGCTAATCATTCTTACACACCAGTTCTACCTGTGACATAATGATAATAGTGTCGAGAAAACTGAAAAGTTACTTTCAGATCTCAAGCTTGTTGAAACATAATCAGACATAATGATATGCATGTAATTATTATCGATATTTGCATCCATCTTCCATTAACGTATCGTTTAGTAAGTTTTTCTTTGTTTTTTTAGCCTGTCTGATTTTTGGACCGGTTAGAGGTTAGTTTTTATTTTTGTGGTTTTTATTATCGAGACTGATGGTAAATTATTTACAATGTTTGCTAAGAGCATATTTTTACGGATGTTTTATTTATCGTTAAAGTATTTATCACACTGTTGTGTATCCGACATACGATCATTTTTATATGAAATATTATGAAAGACCAATTGATAGTTGATTTCTGTATCAGGGATTTGTGGGCTGAGGCTGTAAGAAGATAATTTAAAATCAATTGTGTTATTTTATTTCTCCTTTTATATCTCCTTGATTAATAATACTGTACCTTTACTATTGATACACTTTGTATCCAAAAGTTGATGATACTGTACTACTAATCCGAAACCAACCACAGTCAAACCATGATTATTAACCCTAATAAAGGGGGTGGGGACATTTTGGGTAAACTACATTCTCGGTTATTGAATGGTTGGAGTTTAAAGGAAATGGCTTTTCAAAAAGACCTGAACGGTCATTTTTACGTTATTTTAGTTACTGTAATCTTAAAATCTACAAATGTATACAGTAAATCTATACACTAAAATAAACGACAGTTGTTTTCTGAACATCTCTTTATCTGTAGTATATCTATGTTGTATTCTCCATTACATTCCATTGGCTAAACCGGGCCTACTACCAGTGTCATGGCGGACGGTTCCTGTTGCTTAGCTAATATTCCAATTGGTTAAATTTTTTATGATTTTGATTAATGAATAAAGGGAGTGGGTTAGGAAGGGAAGTAGAGATAAACACCACAGATTATTACTGGGGAATGTGCTATTGGGCCCTTAAATTACTGCTACAAAGTAGACTTTTGTCAACGGGAACCAAAGAAAAACTTTTATAAAACTATAATACAGCCAATAGCACTCTACGGATCTGAAACCTAGACATTGACGAGGAACAACGAAAATAAAATAAGTTTATGAAAACAAAAAAAAACTAAGAACTATGTGTACCTTCCCATCAACAGAAATTGGGTGTGGAGGAACAGAACAAACAAAGAATTAAGGGAAATTTGCCCTTAGGGGTAGCGGGGGTAGGGGTAGCTCAAAATTTTCAAATAGCAAGTATAGTCTTGTTTGGTATCATTTTGTAGGTCTTGACAAAACATAACAATTAACATAAAGAAAATAGAAATCAGATCATTAATAACAAAATGACAGCTAAAAATGATTGAGACAATGGTTATTTAAAGTAATTTTGAACTGCCATTTTGTTATAAATGGTATGATTTCTATTTTCTTTATGTTAATTGTTATGTTTTGTCAAGACCTACAAAATGATACCAAACAAGACTATCCTTGCTATTTGAAAATTTTGAGCTACCCCCTATCCCCGCTACCACTAAGGGCAAAATTTTCAAAACTGGCCATAATTATTGTAGCCCTTCATATCCAAACAAGTTGCCGCAAACCGATTTCAAATATCTCAAATAGTAACAAAGTTAAAGAGGGTGCAAGTTAATTTTTAGCCACCCTCATGGTTATTTGGATTTGAAACGTTTTAGGGCGCAATTTTGTTATTAGAGAGCCGATTTTTGTTTTCTTTATGTCAATGTTTAGGTTTCGTCAAGACCTGTAAAATGATACCAAACTTGACTATACTTGTCATTCGAAAATTTTGAGCTACCCTTTGCTGCTACAGCCAAGGTATTGAAGAGTGTTCTTTTATCGATATGTTGATAGCTTTTTATGAAATAAATAAATCTAATTAAATATATCTATAAACAAGCAGAATACAACAGTTTTTTTTATCGTCCAAAAGAATAAAATGGGAATTTTAAAACTTAATTTTTATGAATTATCTCCGTAATCGTTAGGCATTTAACGTTGCATCAATATACAAAATTATTTATTTTTTAAGCTCTACAAAATGGTTTGGAAAGAAATTGTAATTGAGCGGAGCGAGCGAAGCTCTTTGAGATCGGACCTTATGCAAACTATGTAATCAATTAACTCAATAACGGCTGAACATATTGAATCCAAACTTACCAGGGGTATTTCGACAAATATTTTTGATGTTTCGAAACAAACAAATTTCAATTTTATGATACCTGTACAATTTAATACTGACATAAAATTTGCAATGTTTAACATGAGTCTAATGAGTTGCCATGATGGTTACGAGATAACAACGTAGATGTAAACAAAGAATCGTAGCGTATGCGACTCGACATTCTGTACCCACGGGCACCTCAGCTTGCACATGCACATATGACCTATTTACAAAAGACAGTACAAAAGAAAAGGAGTCAGATGAATACCATTAAGCGTTGATTAACAATACATTCGCATAATTTCTGGCGGCCTTACCGAATTATTCCAAGCAGATTATTTATTTTAATTGTTGTTATTAGTTTTGTGGTAAATATTAGTCCGGAGTGTGGTAACTGTTTATGACGATTAGATTAAGGTATCTGTTATCCTAAAATGCTATGGGAAGGGAGGGAAACAGGTCCGCAACGTAGGAAGTCGTGAAGGAGGCAGTAAAGGTGATCGGTCCGGAGTGTGGGAACTGTTTATGACGATTAGATTAAGGTATCTACAATCTTAAAATGCTATGGGAAGGGAGGGAAACAGGTCCGCGACGTAGGAAGTGGTGAAGGAAGTAGTAAAGGCGAGTAGTCCGGAGTGTGGGAACTGTTTATGACGATTAGATTAAGGTATCTGTTATCCTAAAATGCTATGGGAAGGGAGGGAAACAGGTCCGCGACGTAGGAAGTCGTGAAGAAAACAGTAAAGGTGAGCGGTCCGGAGTGTGGGAACTGTTTATGACGATTAGATTAAGGTATCCACAATCTTAAAATGCTATGGGAAGGGAGGGAAACAGGTCCGCGGCGTAGGAAGTGGTGAAGGAAGTAGTAAAGGCGAGTAGTCCGGAGTGTGGGAACTGTTTATGACGATTAGATTAAGGTATCCACAATCTTAAAATGCTATGGGAAGGGAGCGAAATAGGTCCGCGGCGTAGGAAGAGGCGAAGGGAGTAGTAAAGGCGAGTAGTCCGGAGTGTGGGAACTGTTAACGTCGATTAGATTAAGGTATCCACAATCTTAGAATGCTATGGGAAGGGAGGAAACAGGTCCGAAACGTAGGAAGTGGTAAAGGAAGTAGTCAAGGCGAGCAGTCCGGAGTGTGGGAACTGTTTATAAGGATTAGATTAAGGTATCTGCAATCTTAAAATGCAATGGGAAGAGAGGGAAACAGGTCCGCGACGTAGGAAGTAAGGAAGGCGAAGGAAGTAGTAAAGGCGAGCACTGTGGAGTCTGGGAACTGGAAACCAATTGTAACAGTTCGATTTCAATGCTACTGGCGTCGCGGCAACCACCATCTTTTTCAGGGTATCATCAGCTCGTGAAATTAGCCACGCCTTATTTCCTGTGGTGACCATTGACTATGGTATTGCTATATATAGTCACCTTCTTCTGTCATTCTGTTCGCTGAGCAAAGTTTACTAATTGGCTAAATGTTTTAGTTGGAGAAAATGAGAAGGAAGCCTATAGGCCTATTACATAAATGGGAGCTAAACAAACATTAGGATATTGACAAAATAACACTTATCTTTATGCTATCACAAACACACAGTTTTACTATTACTCATACAAGTAAAAATCAATGACCTAATAGAAACAGCTGACTGGATTCATATTTAACTCTTCCAACCAACCACGAGAATTCAATTGGATTGTTGCTGAAAACAAATTAAAGTTATTTGTTTATATCAAAGCTTGCTTACTCCGCTCAATTGGCGGTCCTGAGGCCGCATGCCTAGTAGTTTGTGGTTTTAGGGGGGAAATGGGAATAACCAACGTTTACCCCATAAAAACCCTTATAAAACCCTATTCCCATAGTCTGATCATGCTGGTTCACAAACTCGTTCGAATGAACGTAAATTGATATATTTGTACCAAATTTCATCAAATCGGAGCATTTTTGTTTGAGTTATCACGCTAACTGACTCATGTATCTATATATATATATAAAAAGTGATAATATATATAGATATATGATTTTAAGTTTTACATTTTATTTATGAATTTTAACGGTGGAGGGTTTTTTGGCCTCTGAGGGCTTCAAAATGAAAAACTAAATCGGGCCTGGGTACCATGAGACCTACGGTAATAGTTTATTCCCTATGAAGAATTTGCTAAAAGAACAACCGAAACAAAACCCATGTACAGTTAATACAATTTATTTCTATCCTTTGTAATTTAAAAGCATAAAATCATTTTATATGTACGTAACAATTTTATAGGATGTTATTTTTTAACAAAATAATTGCATTATCATGATTTGAAGTTAAGAATTACTCATACATCGAATTCAAAATTTCCCCTTACAACTTCTTTCCCCCCATATCTCATATTTTCAACACTGGGGTAAGACGACTCATCATACACTCGGTTTTTAATTTCTTGTCTTATCAAAGCTGCAGCTGTAGAAACAATTCTCTTATAATCTTATCACCATTATGCCTTTTATTTTAAGAGTACCAAGTTTCAGAGAAAATCTTGTCCACCCTATCTCTTAAACAAACTATGGAGGATCTATTTTTATGTTCGTAGTCTAATAAGAAGTCTTTCACCAAGTGATTAAGTTATAATGTTTTGAAGTACTTCGTTTCATAAACCTGGTCTCTGCCTGATATATTTTTCATCAATTGCAAAAGGTTAGGAATACTATGCTGGCAATCATCATTTTCCTCAATGAAATCGCAAACTTTTATGAATTATTCTTTTAATAAATCGTTAACTGGTCTACCACGACCTACACACGTATTGGTGTGAATTTGTTGTTTAAAAAACCTAGCATAACAAGGTAAACAAATCCTTCAAGCCTAGACCTAACCTAATCAGCCCAATCGTTTTTCCTATTTTCAATACATTTACTTATAGTTTGTTTAGTAGTTAAATTACTGTATGAACTCAATTAAATGCTTTCCTATTGTTTTTTTGGTGTATTACAATAAAAAAAATCTAGAAAATACAATAATGGGTAGAAACGTCTTGCACGAGTGGGTAACGGATCAAATCAAATCAGTTTTATTTCCACAATATATACAAAATTTACAATTTTTCAAAAAATAAAATACGAATATATATAGTAGTCTTGAAGCATTATACAGTACACAGTTTACGTAAAATAATTCAAGTAAAATTAAATTTTTAAAGTTATAATAGTATAAACTTAAATCAGCTATGGATTAGCTATTGGAGTTAGTAGTAGTCTATGGTAG